CACAAGCAATATAGGATACTATATCAATCTGTAATTATTCCTCATCCATGTAAATCCTCCATCACATCCCGTGTAATCTTCTCTCATTACTCATGATTGATTCCCTGATGTACCTATAAAAGGGCCTTGTACTCTTGTTGAATAAGACACAGAACATTATATTCTTACAGACATGTCAACGATTACCCAATACAACACATGAAAAATGATGAATGAGAATCTTGAAATACACTAAAACGTTGGTCAAAGAAACCTCAAAAAAGGAGAATCGACCAAAAGCAATAAGCTTAATGTCAACAATAAAGCTTGAATTCTCCACAAGTGAAAACCAAATCCATGGTTCACCACAATGATGGTTTCTAGCAAAGTCTTTGTCCATCTCTCTAGAAAACAATACCCGATGAGCAATAAAACAAACTGAAATTGCTAGGAATATTCCAATAACAACCTCATACTAAGATAATAGATGGATAAAAGAAAGCCTAAGAGCCTCATACTGAGGTAATTTGATCCTCATATTGAGGTAAGGAAACCCTAAAGTAAAGTAATTTTGGAGCAAAATATGACTGAGAAAGGGGATCTCACATATGATACATTCCAAAATAGTGTCCATGGGAAGATGGGGTTCAGCAAAGGAGATACAAGGGTCCATTCGAAGAATTGAGCAAATATGAAACTTACACTCAGAAGAGGAGATTGCAGCGACGGGAACCACATATTTGGAGGAGTCCGGAGGGTCGGGAGGAGAGACCACCGTGAACATATCATGATGGGAGACACATGGCGGCAAATCTAGATATGAAGACGGAGGCGTCGCGGAGGAGCTGAAGCAGCTGGGGACGATGAGACGATGACTTTCGCGGAGGAGGATTTCCGTAAGGGAGAGGCTCCGACGGTGGAGATGGAGAGGCAGAGCTCCATTCTTGACCAAGGAAGCTTGAAACTCTTCAAGCGGCGGTCTCGAGCCTCGTGCCCGAGAGAGAACTAGGTCACGCGGTTTTTTCCAATGGGTTGTGATTAGCCCCACTGTTTCTAATTTTTTAATTTTTCTAAGTGATTTACTAAATATTTTGTCGTTAAAATCAAACATCGTAAAATTTCAACATTATTTAAACCTTTCAAAGAATCATCAATTGAAATCTAAAAGTCTATTCATCTATCCAAGGGTCAATTCCAGCTTGTTAAGAGTAAATGTCGACTTATTCAATTAAGAATGAGTCAAGGAAAATTATAAAAACATGGTTCACTCTCTACGTATATTTACTAACTGGGCCATTAGAAAAGTAAAAGCCCATGAAAGACTTAATTAGTTCACGTGAGGTAACATATCTTCTTCGGTGTTCTTCTTCGTGTTCGACGTTGACAGCGATAAAGATATCTAGGTCTATTCTCTGGTTTATTCATTAAAAAAATCCAATTAAAAAATGTATTTTAATTTTGTTTATCCTCGAGAATGGATGTACAAACACCGGAATCTAGAAACGGGCGAAATTACAAAAGAATTCGAAGAAAGACTTACCGAATTCATGCGATTTGCAACTAGAGACGGTCTTGATAAGATTGTTTGTCCTTACACCAAATGTAATAATAGAAAACCACAAGATGTTAATAGAGTGTGAAATAACTTATTTAGAGACGAGTTTAGACCAAATTATTTTGTATGGTTTCTCCATGGGGAAGATTTATTATACCATACCAAGTAGCAGTGAATTACCGACGAATAGTTATGAACAATCTACTATAGAGAGGGAAGACTTAAATAATACTATAA